GAAGTGGACATTGATGAACTTGACGCAGTTTACGAACCTGCTGATCAAAGGGATTTATTAAATGGCACAGACAAAGAATCCTTCATGGACGTTCTTGCTGCTCTGATTGTGAGTGAGGAATTTCAAGGGATAGTAGCATCAGAGACTGGAAACAATAGAGCAATGGACAATTCGTCCAACGGGGGAGCCACGCTTCCTAGGCCCTCCTCCCCAGGTGTGAATGCTGAATCCAATTCAAGCCAGAGTTCCCAAGGTTCAGGAGGTAAAATGTTATTTCATCCATCATACTATGCAATCACGCAGTGTGTTCTTGGTACATATTATACATTCTGATGATGTAGCACCGTTTTGGGGTTCGCAGGATCTGTATTGCTGGGACTTGCTGCGATTACAAGCATATTAGTGCTAATATCTCTCAGTTCCAGCGGATCAAGTATTTTTAACCCTTGAATGTAGTGGTTGTGAAGCAACCTGGTCTCTGAGCTAGCAGTAAGGGCGGGTTCCATTTAACTGATTCGGTTTGAAGAAACGGCCTACTGTGGTGGTCTGGTTTCGAGGTATATGTTTGGCAGAGGAAGGCTTTGATTCGGCAGCATATACAATGCGGATGGGGTGTTGGATTGGATACTAGAATGTTAGTTTTCTTTTTACCCTGCAAATCATTCCGTTTGTGGTAGCTGGTAGGGTTCTAAGAGGGCCTTGGCAGTGAGTTGACTTGTTACAGAGGCTTTTGGTTTTAGTTTTAGTCATATATTTGTAAGGGGATTAGGGGATGATGGAGCTTCCCCACTTGCGGAATTGGGAAATGAGAAGGGCCCTGACCAGCTCTTTTTCTTTGTACAAACTTGATTATTTTATAGTCATTAGGAGAAGTTATTTTCACAGTTTGTGATCCTTGTAGCGCAAGAAACCTAAATTTGCGGTTCACCTCTTTCTAATTGGTTCTTCAGCTGCGCTTGCCTTGCTGGCGTTCTCGGCAGGTCTGCAACTCTTGCTATCTTCTTTTGTTCAGCGCATTTACCACTCTTTTTTTATTCTGCTGCCTTATATGGTTATCTAAGATTTCCCTTTCCTTTGGCCGTTTCTTGCAGATGTCGTTGGCCGTTTGCATTCGATAAGTGGGGTTTCACACAAGATGACGAACAACAGATATTGACAAGGTTATATCAGCAGAAATACCAAACCCTGAATTGGATCCAGTGAGTTATGGTGTCGTTGTTAAGTATACTAGAACCAATACCCGCGGCTACGCCGCAGGAACCAAAGTTTGCAACAACATGATTCTTTGATGGGCAGTTTAAGTAATGGCTGATGGCAAACTGGGATCGTTGTATGTTGTATTCTTGGCGATGGCCCCGATTTTATGTTGAGTTCTATAGTCCCCTTTCAGTTTAATATTCTCTGATATTCTGTTCACGTATCTGTTTGCCAATAACTAAATAAGGTTGGGGTTGGGGTGATTAATTTGTAAGCAGCAAAACTATAACAATAGAATGGGATGATAGAAACGATAGAATGGGATGATAGAAGCGAGGGCGGAGGCACGAAACAGATCATTTTCTAAGCAACGTGAGGTCCAGATACTGAAAGTGAAATTACAAAACATATGCATGGTCAACAAACACATATTGAAGCAAAATATGTTATGGAAATAGAGTCCCAACAACATAAGATGATCTTGACATCACAAAAGGACAGGAGGGTTCTACTGGGTCTCGATGGCAAAGGTAAGCATATCGCATATGGTGATGACTGATGACCTCATCTTAAGTCATTGTTGCCCCCCATTAATTCGCCAAGAGATTACTCTTCATATCAACCACTGCACTTGCATCCTACCGAGATTCAGACACTCAAATCAATAAGCACGCAGCGAAAATGTTAGAATACACCAGCAACATAAAAACATTGCAGAAGCAGCATTACAGCAGCAGGCAAAAAAGTGCAGCAACACCTAAGGAAAATTTTTTGGAAGAGAAGGTTTCTGACCATAAAGACAGCTTTCTAAACATGTGTGAAAGCAAGCAGTATGTTTGTATCTCATGATTTTGAGCCCTTGGCAGCATTTCTTTTGTGCTAACTTGCTAACAACCAAATACGTACCTGCACATAATTGGCTGCAACACATACCAGTAATTGTTGCAACATCAATGACTACATCCCACACATAAACCAAATGAAATTATAAGAACATCTATGTCAAAAACTTAAGCTGAATTAATCAGAGCATAGAGGAAAACAGAAACTATCTGGAGTTAGCAAATTTGCAGAAAGAACCTGTTTACGGAAGACTACAACTAACTTTGGAGAAAAAACATATATCTGCATCAACATGAGCAAGCAACATTACTTCAAAAGAGCCACCAGGTAAAAGCAAAAGAATAGCTCAAACAAAAGCTAGCCAAACAGTAGCTGCAACATACAGCTTCGAGTGAGTGAGTTATCTGTTATTTCTTGTTGGCGTCTTTGTAATAATAGACTTAAGGCCAAGTAAGGCAACCAGGTTCTTCTCCAAGTTGTTGCCTGCTGCTATGAAAAAGTTGTTAATTGGGATCCAGTATTACCCTAGAAATGAAAAAAAAAAACAGAAACAAAATCCATCAACAAAACGACATACATACTCGCAGCTTCTATCCAATCCCATCAAACTCTACCACAATGATAACCTGAATGCCTTCTATCAGTAACATAACAGGATTGATATAGTCCACCATCTTCAAGACCCGCAGAGGCTATAGATACCGACGATCCATTATTATCCTAGAACTGGAAAAAAAAAACAAAACAAAAAATTAGTCAACAAACAACATGCATACTCGCAACTTCTATCCAATCTCATCAAACTCTACTGCACTGATAACCTGAATGGCTTCTCTCAGTAAGGCAGCAGGATTGTCATCAAACTCTACTCGCAACTTCGATCCAATCTCATCAAACTCTACTGCCCTTATAACCTAAATGGCTTCTCCCAGTAAGGTAGCAGGATTGTCATCTCTTGGAACTCCACTATCTTCAAGACCCGCAGAAGCTAAAAATACCAAAGACTGGCCAAATTTCCTCTCCAGTTTGGTCTGACGTGTTCCAGAATACTTTTTGGTGATCAGTTCTGCATCCACTAATGAATACTGAGAAACATGAACACAAATCAGACCAAAGTGTGGCATAGTACAGATAAAAAGGAAATTTCATCACCATGATGCAGGTGAAGTGCCACCGGAAGTCTCTGCCACAGTTTCCCATTCCAATATCCCAGAGGGGAAAAAAAACCAAAAACCCCTCAAAGTTAATGCTAAAAACCAATCCCAAACGCATGAATCAAGCTCCTGATTATTTATTCTGAGATGCAAGGAAAGAGGATTGATCACCGATATTGATTTTTTGTAAAGGGTACGGGAAATTGGTCGCCAATATTCGAAAGGGCGAAACTTCAACTTTTATCAACTACCTTACGTCTGGTGACATTGACTTCCCTTAGTGACTGAGGGAAAGTATATTAACCTGATATTTTCAGCTCCCTTCGCTGATCAACATGGAAACAACCTTTTTCTTTCATTAGAGGTCCTATAAAGAATAGGATAAGAGCTTAAGCAAGTATACTTGTTCATCATCTAAAATCCAACAGTGTTTTTACCGAAGTGATTGAGTAGAAGTATACTCACTTGATGAACTTCGTAAGATACTTTCCCCTGCGGTTTGTGGTAGTCAATCACAACATCCATCTGCAAACCCTAAAACAGATACCTAAATATCAATCTGAGTACATACTGTGAAATGAAAATGCAAAAGAAACCTTGAGAAACAAAATCCAAAGCAAACGACAAATTAAAAAGGTAACCCAAGCATAGAATAGCAGCCAGTACAACTGCAGTAACAGCCAGCGACCAATAGCAACAGAATTACAGCATATCAATAGTAGAAATATAGCGGCAATAGCAGGGAAAGGAAGACAGCAGCAGAAGTATAATTACAGTAGCAGCAGAAAGAAAGTGCATCAGCACTGAAACAGAAGAAGATCCATCATATCTTTGACCTGAAAGAGGCTGACAGAACAATTGAACGACTAAGTGATTGTGGCTAAATAAACTGTAATACATAGGGCATTAATAACAACCTGCAATTATCTACACCTATGCAACAGTCAGTTAATGAAAAAAAGAAAAAGGATGGGAATGAAGCTCTCCTTTGGGATTGGCATCTTTAGAAACATGTGTGTATGTTATCTGGCATCTGCCCATCTCATTAGCACATTGCATGATTTTACAAAGTTCAAGAACGATCCATTTTCATCCAGAAAAAAAGTTCTTATGCTCTAGCTAGTGTGTAAACAATAGATAACAAAAATTCATTAACTCTTAAGACTCATAATTCATCTTCAGCAGTGCAGGAGACACCTTTGAGTGACAAATGACAGAAAGAATCCTAAAGCTCGTTTGAACTACATTGAGCAGGTTATTAAATGGGAGAAACACATATGTACAGAGATAGAGAGCTGGAAAGTTCAATTCAAAACTTAAACATCAACAACAGGTAGGACAAATAGCGCTTCCATCAAACCCACTCTCCCATTTGAATGAACTTATGGGCCAAAACTCCAACAACATGCACTTCGTTGGTCAAATGATTAACAAACAACAACAGGGTCAACCTAAGGTGTAACAGCAATGCAGGAGAGGAAAATGATGATGGGGCTGGGAGGGCAAATGGGAATGTGAAACAACATGGTGGGGCTGGGAGTGGTAGGAACTGCGATGGTTGACCATGAAAAAGGAAGCCACTAAACATTGTAATGTAGACTAATTAAGGAGAGAAAAGCTAGCTAGACTGTCAAACACAGCTATATAAGCAAAATAGCAAAATGATGACTTTGATTAATGATTAATATTAACCTGATGATCCTACTTCCCAATTGTACGCCACTACCCAATTGCGTCACAGAACACCTCAAACGCCTCAGCATGATCCAATCAAAAACACAAATTGTAAGCATGGAAAGAGCGAATCTACCTCCGACAACAAAGGCTCGAAGTTCCAGCTGGGCTTGGCTCAACCACAATCCCGTGAACTCTCTGCCGACAACGATGGTCCAACCTCACGGGTTCCCTGAAACAGAACGGTTAAGTAAAAAACTTTGGCCTACGGGATGAAATCAATACAATATACTGTCGGCCGCGAGAAAAAGAAAGCATACATGACTCCGATGTCGCTACTGTGGATTGCTTGAATGGAGAAGGAGAGGAAAGTGGGAGCGTTTGGCTATAAAACAACTCCTCAACTTCCATTCGTGTTCGTCTTTTTCTTCTTCTCTGCACTCGCAGTCGCTGGTCTCCACTCCTTTGACATACGAAACCATAATATGGAACTGAAAATAGGGAAAACCAATAAAAGTGAGCAGTAATAACGTGAGAAAGGCAAGCATGTTCATTTTGTTGGGGTTGGGGTTGTGGTAGGAGGAAGATCCACCGGAGACTGCAAAAGTTTAAAAAAAAAAAAAAACTCACCACCGTCGCCCGACTTTTTCCCGGCAGGGAGTCGTGCCCCATGGCTAGGGCTATTCGCTACTATCGGCGTGCTCTGCAGCGAGAGTCCACAAATGCTCCTCTTGTTCCAAAGCGATCCCATCTTCCTCCGTTTTTGGGTTCAACTGCGACCGACAGCTAGGGAGAATTTTAGGGTTTGCGTTGCAAAAGAGGAGAAGATATGGAGGGTGCAAGAGGGAGAAGCCTTTGTCTCCCACCAAGTCACTTGTATGCAACGCCGCATGGGTTGCGTGTTCGGGAAAGTAAAATCAGAGTGGCCAGCTGATGGGGAAGACGTGCCTTCCGGATTTTCTCCTCTAAAAGTGAAGGCATTGGCTTGGTGTAGGGAAAGCATGGCGGTGTGGACAGGGGAAGTTTTCAGGCGGGATGAGAGATTTCTTCTTTCTCGGGTTCTTCTTTTCTCCTTATCTTCGTCCTTCTTTCTGATCTAGGACAATGGGAGATGATTGAAAAAGCATGGGCTTGAAGTGTTTGAGTAGGTCTAGAGAGTTTGCTACATCGAGAAGCAAACCAGAGTGGTGAGGTGATGGGAGATGATTGAAGGGGTGACGTGTGAATGCAGATTTTGGTTTGAGATTGTGAGAGGATGGGGGATACAGAAAAAACATGGTCGTCCGTAAGCAGAGTCGGTGGGGAATGGATGAAAAGGGATATGGGAAGTTTCGGTTCGGCAACGGGAAGGTTTACTCTGGGGCAAGCAATGCTGTGGGAGCAACTCACTAAATGCCAAAGAATGAAACAGTAACATACATATTGGGCCAATAAAGTGTAGTTGGCTTTCATATTCTATATAATGCTTCATGGACCTTGCGGTCAGACCAATACAGGTGTTCCATGCATCATGCATGAAAGATAAGAAAGTGTCATCAAAAGGTAAATGATCCAATAGTTTCCCTAAAGAATTCAATTCATCAACCACATTTGACAGCTTTGGTAACATTGTTTACAAGAGAACAGACTCTGCTATATATGTGGAGAAGGGAATGCCATATTGGATAATCGACATGTTGTCCCGTACAATTAAAATCTGCTAGTCAAGATGTAAGCTCACATCAATGTAGAAGTATGTTACAAAGGAAAACTCATAAAGTATATTTTCACATATGTTACTAAAGGGCCTGATAGATCTTTGGTAATTGCTGAGAACTTGGAATCTTCCCAAAGTGATCCAGCAACACAGCCAATTAGACGAAGAGATGAGATTCAACCGTTTATAGACTACAGGTCATTGTCATCATAGGAGGCCGTATGGAGGTTGAATGAGTGTACCCGATACATGTTAGAAAACCAACAATTTTGCGCTTGGGAGTACATTTGGATGAACGTTAGAAACAAAGTTTCTAACGGGTTTCTAGATCGGATCTAGAGATTGAGAATTTAGGGTTTATAGAACAGAATTGAGGATTTAGGGATTTGAGAAGAGAGTTTGGGATTAAGAGGTAGAATTTGGGAAGAACGAGAAAGAATGGCTGGCGGCCGGATTAGGGAAAGAAGAGAAATTGAGAGGATTTGGGAGAGATTAGGGTTTATGGATTTTCTTAATATGCTTCTTATTGATACCGAATGAATATGTAAAGTACATATTTATAGGGAATTCTAGGAAACCCTAATAATAAACCTAATTCTATTAAATGACTACTAACCTTATTGATAATTACCCTAATAATAATTATATTAATAAATAGAGAAACCCTACAAAAATCGGTTTCTAACATCTCCTCCCCCTTCAGACCAACCTTGCCCTCAAGGTTGACCGACTTGACCCACTCTTCCACGTCCCTCGTGTAATCCACATCCTTCTTGCGCTTTCTTTTCTTCCAATCGTGCTCCAACTTCGAGATTGAGCTTTCTCCACCAGCCTTGTGTTGATTTAATTCTTCAATTTTCACTTTTATGGGCACACCACCCACTTCCTTGACAAAGTCGAACCTCAGCAGCTCCTCTATTGTTGGCATCCCGCTCCAGCCACTTAAGGAATTCCAAGATGCTTTCTTTTTCTCCAAGCTCACCCACTTTAAAACAAAGCCTATTGGAGGCCCAGGCCCGCTCTGACATCTCAACCCAGTCTTCTTTTGAACCCAGTGGGTTCCCTTGTTGTTCGGCCCAAGACTTAGTTTTGGCTCAATCCGATTATTCTCATGATGTGGCCCGTTCGAGTGAACCAATAGGTCCGATCCGAGCCCAACGATTGTCCACCCTTGCTCCAGATCTGTTCGGCCTGCCTCACTTTGTGTCTCGGGCCACCCAGCCCAGATTTTTCGGCCCAACCAAGCTTTCCTTTGCTGCTCAGTACGGCCCAAGGTGGCCGATCGAGGGTTGGAGAGAGAACTGACGCCCCCGCCGTCTTTCCTCGTCTCGTCTTCCAGGAGCGGAGTTTTCTTCTTCCTTTCGCCCTCCGTCGGCGAACCATCCTTAGCCTTCTTCTCCGGTAACGAACAACGCACCTGGCGGCAACGAGCCCCGCTCGGTCCTGGCTTCTTCTCCTTGACGTTCCCCGTGAGAGAAGCCGCCGTCCTCTTCTTCGTCGAACGCTCCGACTTCATCTCTTTTCCCCTCGTCAAACCTCTCAACGGGCGGCTAGGAGTTGAGTCGGCTTCTTCCATTCCCGGCTTCACCTCATCGATGGACGACGCCACCAACGAGGCCGCCGATGTCCATTGTGTCCTCTCCACAAGTTGCATTCCCGGCGACAAACAACTCAGCCAGCGGTGAGGAGTCGAACCGGCTTCCGGCCTTCGAGGTTGCCTCTCCCCGCCGTGCGACGCGAAATCCGATGTCGCCAGCAGCCGCATGATCATCCCCGCCGCGCTGGTCCCGGATTCCGCCTGCCTGGGCCTCGTTGTCGTGACCGGAGCTGCCGGCGAGCCACCCCGGCGATCCCTCATCGTCGTCTGCTCCTGCGGCGCCAAGAAACTCGTCCGGAGGAGGCTGTCGCGGCGGTCGACTTCGGCCCCAGCTTCTCGCTCGACGTCGCCTCGAAGAGAGTGGCTCGCTGCGCCGTTAGCGCAATTCGCGCGACTGACGAAGACCTGGCGAGCTTGCTCCCCTGCTGCTTCTCTTCGTTGATTGTTGCTGGTGTTGGGCTCAGCCCACATCGAGCGGATCTCGCAGCTGCTGATCGCCTCTGCAATCATGAGCGAAGGATCCCTGCAATTCTGCTCTAGCGTTACCTCCTTCAGCGGCTCCCGCCTTTGTCTTTTCTTCTTGAATTTCCAGCCATCAATTGGAGTTGTTCTGGAGTTTACCTCCTCCAATTCCAAATCTGCTGCAGGCTCCTCATCTCTCACCTCTTCATTCCTGACCGAGAGAATTGCTACTTTTGGGGATTCAGCGGAGGTGGCTGGCGTTGGTGGTGATGGCAGGATTGGGTCCGAGACAACCTTTCGTACTGCGACAGCTATCTTTGTCAATGGGATAATGACAGTGGTTGATGGTGCCTTCTGTTCATCCCGTCCAGGATGTTGCGGTTCTGTCACGGTGACGGTCATGGCGGTTGCGGCTGGTGTCTCCTCAACGGCCAGCTGCTCTTCGACTTGAGCCTTGCAGCGGAGAGTGCCCAGGGAGGACAATCCAGCCACCGAGTGCAGCGAGAGGGTCGGCGCTAGTTCGCTGGGTGCGCGCTTCTCGCCGGCGTCAACTACCGCGGCGCGCTGCTCGGATCGCCGCTCGCCATCACACGGGTCGGCCTCGACCGGCGGTGGTGGGCGCTCGCTGTCGGCTACTCGGGTCACCGTCTCTGCTTGCATGGTCGGCGACTCTTCGGAGCTCCAACGGCGTCCGATGCGGCGAGCCCGGTCACGCAGCTCTGCCCACGACAGGTTCGAGAGCTTTGAAGAGCTCATCGTCGAACAAGTTGCAGAACTCGCCCCCGGTTGAGAGTTGTGATGAACTCAATTCTCGAAACCGGGCTCTGATACCAGATGTTAGAAACAAAGTTTCTAACGGGTTTCTAGATCGGATCTAGAGATTGAGAATTTAGGGTTTATAGAACAGAATTGAGGATTTAGGGATTTGAGAAGAGAATTTGGGATTAAGAGGTAGAATTTGGGAAGAACGAGAAAGAATGGCTGGCGGCCGGATTAGGGAAAGAAGAGAAATTGAGAGGATTTGGGAGAGATTAGGGTTTATGGATTTTCTTAATATGCTTCTTATTGATACCGAATGAATATGTAAAGTACATATTTATAGGGAATTCTAGGAAACCCTAATAATAAACCTAATTCTATTAAATGACTACTAACCTTATTGATAATTACCCTAATAATAATTATATTAATAAATAGAGAAACCCTACAGAAATCGGTTTCTAACAGGTAATATGGTAGAAGTTTGAAATTGGACAGATCTATTTGATTAAGAAGTCTTTGGATCTCCTTGTTTGAGGAGTTAGTTGGGCAGATCTATTTGACTGAGGAAGTGTTGGATCTACTTTTTTGTGAAGTTAGTTGTTTGATCAACTAGAGGCACAAACTGTAGGCTAATTTTGTGGAGTCAGTAGGCTTGCAATAATGTGTGCACCTTGTGAAATGTGATGCCATCTTCTTTCACACTCATGTGAGATTCAATGATCTATCTTGCTTCATTGCTATCATGTGGTGGCAAACATAACATCAACCTACCTTGTGAAATGTTTTACAAACGTTCTTTGGTATGATACTATGTAAAGTTCAATGATGTTTGCTTCTATGTTATTCCGTGGTGGAAAAATTGAATTATGATACGTTTGCTACAGGTATGAATTGGTGCAGGCTGATCTTACAGTGGCGAGCTATAACGATCTGTCAGTAATCAACCTCCGTAGGTTATTTGCCAACAAAGGTTCGACATTTATGGACATGGAAAAGCAGAGCATAGAGAAGTCTCCACCCAAAAGAAAGCTAAGCATTGACACCATTTTCTGAAGGAGACCAGTTTCCATCTCCCCTCCATGTTCCAACTTGTACGTCTTTAGCAATGTACCAATCTTCTATTCCAATTTCCAATACCCCTGTTAAGAATCAATACGTGCTGAATGGCTCTTGTAAATCTTTGCTCTCCCTTCGCATTCTATATGCGGACATATGTTATGCATTAGCTATTTAGCTTGAAGGTTCAGGTTCAGATATTGATGTACTGGAAATTGGAGATAGGCTATCAGACTGACTGATGGAGGAGTAATGGAGTCTATGTTGCAGCAACTCCTATCTACTAGGGGTGGTAGTTAACTGAGCAGTTATTGGTCAACCAAGAAACCGAATCGAAATATGTGGTTAGTCGGCTAACCGAAAATCAAAAACCGAACCAAAATGCTTCGGTGGGAGCATTTTAGCTTTTAATTAACCGAGTGGTTTTCGGTTTCTAATCGATAAAAAATTAGTGCATCGATAACTAACCGTCTAGCCACTATTTCCTTCCCTTCCCCATCGCGTGACTCCACTTCCTCATCACCAAATTCCATTCCCACAATCGAATCTGTAAGTGAATATAATTCTGCAATATTCAAAATTGCGTCACAGTTGAAATTGTGCGGAGAAAAGATCACTGATGAAGATCTCATGGAAAAGACTTTTTCCACATTTCATGCATCAAATGTGCTTTTGCAACAACAATATCGTGAAAAGGGTTTCAGGAGGTATTCTGAACTTATTTCCTGCCTCCTGGTAGTAGAATAAAATAACGAGCTTCTAGTGAGGAACCACGGATCCCGACCAACTGGTGCTACTGCATTCCCAGAAGTGAATGCGAGAAGATATAACAAGTGCCGACCTCGTGGCCGTGGTCATGGTCGTGGTCAAACCAATCATGGATATGCACGAGGTGGCAATCCTTATTCTGGACGTGGGTTTCCACATGGTAATAGTTCAAAAGGCACATATGAACATGGTGGTAGCTCCAAAAATGCACATTTCCACCAGAAGTGGAAAAATATTAACAAAGTAGTGAAGGGTCAAGATGGTCACAAAACATCCGAGAATACTTGTTACCGTTGTGGTGGTAAAGGTCATTGGGCTCGTACCTGCCGTACGCCAAAACATCTCATAGATCTTTACCAGGAGTCAATCAAAGAAAAAGGAAAAAATATCGAGACAAATATGGTTTGTCAAGAAAATGCTCCTGAACATGGCCTATCTGACTTCACGCATCTAGATGTGGCAGACTTCGTTATCATATCATATTGTTTGGTATTTTATGACTTCGTTATCATATCATATTTCGTATTTTCCTTGAATAAATGTTGTATTTGAGAACTTGTTATGTTTATCCTCTTGTTTGAATGTTTTAAATTAATGTTGTATTTCAATATCGTTTGGTTGTAAGCTTGTTGTTCTCCGAATAAAAGATTTTTAATTGTTCACAGTTTGGTATTGGAGAATGGCTTTAACCACCAATAACCAAGATTTATGCCTTATTGATAGTGCATCAACACACATGATCCTGAAAGATAAAAAGTACTTCTCATATTTGGAAATGAGAGAAGCCAGTGTTAGTACTATTTCAGGAAAAACAAACATCATTGAAGGCTCCGGAATAGCTAATCTATTATTGGCTGGAGGAACAAGATTGTGCATCACTGATGCCTTGTATTCAAGCAAGTCTTATAGAAACTTATTAAGTTTTAAGGATATCCGTAGAAATGGATATCATCTTGAGACAACAAATGAATATGATACAGAATATATCTTCATCACCAATATGGCATCAGGTGAAAAATGCATATCGGAAAGATTGCCTGAATTTTCCTCTGGTTTGTACTATACGTACATTAGCATGATTGAAACATATGCAATTGTAACCCCGAAGTTCACAAATCATGACGAATTCTGGCATGATCGATTGGGTCATCCAGGATCAGTCATGATGCAAAAGATAATTGAAAATTCATATGGTCATCCATTAAAGAAACAAAGAATACCACAATGGAAGGAAATATTATGTCCTGCTTGTTCCCAAGGAAAGTTGGCTATAAGACCATCACCAGAGAAATTGAGAAATGAATCTATCAGATTCTTGGAACGTTTACAAGGGGATATGTGTGGACCAATACACCCTTATTGTGGACCATTTAGGTACTTTATGGTATTGATTGATGCATCAACTAGATGGTCACATGTTTCATTATTATCCACCCGCAACTTGGCGTTTGCGAGGTTACTTGCTCAACTAATAAGATTACGAACTCATTTTCCTGATTACCAAATCAAGAAAATAACATTGGATAATGCTGAATTTACATCACAAACTTTCAATGATTATTGTATATCTTTGGGAATTGATGTGGAACATCCTGTAGCACATGTTCATACGCAAAATGGTCTTGCTGAATCATTCATCAAATGTTTACAGCTAATTGCAAGACCATTATTTACGATAACAAATCTCTTAGCCTCCTGTTGGGGCTATGCCATTTTGCATGCAACAAATTTGGTTCACATCAGGCCAACAAGTTATCATGAGCAATCTCCATTGCAGTTGGTTTTTGGAAATGAGCCTAATGTGTCCCACTTGAGAATATTTGGTTGTGCAGTATATGTACCAATTGCTCCACCGCAACGCACAAAGATGGGACCTCAGAGAAAGTTAGGAATTTATGTTGGATATGAGTATCTTTCAATCATTAAATATCTAGAACCAACGACCGGATATTTGTTTACAACCAGATTTGCTGCCTGTCACTTTGATGAAACAGTCTTCCCAAAATTAGGGGGAGAGAATAAACAACCAGGAAATGAGATAAGTTGGAATGAATTATCATTATCTCATTTCGATCCTCGAACCCAACAATGTGAACTTGAAGTTCAAAGGATAATTCATTTGCAAAGTTTAGCAAATCAATTGCCAGATGCATTTACTGACTTGAAAAGAGTAACCAAGTCTCATATTCCGGCTGCTAATGCTCCGATTAAGATCAATGTCCCTATTGGTCAAATTGATGTGGCAAATGAACCAAAGGCAGGCATGAAGCGTAGTAGACCTTTAGGTTCTAAAGATAAAAATCCTCGTAAAGGAAAAGGGATGAAAAATCAAGATGGTCCATGTAAGGATTCCATTACTCAAGAAAAATCTCCAAACATAATTACATCAGTTCCAGAAGAACATCAGGTACCTGAGAAAGATGAAAATACAGAGATCTCGATTAATTATGTTTTTTATGGGAAACAATGGAACCGCAATGAGGTTGAAGTCGATGAAAGTTTTGTGTACAATATGGCAGTTGATATCATGAATGAAAATGAAGACCATGAACCAAAGTCTATTGAGGAATGTACACGAAGAGATGATTGGTTAAAATGGAAAGACGCGATATCTGCAGAACTGAATTCACTTACAAAGCGAGAAGTGTTTGGACCTGTAGTCCATACCCCTCGCAATATTAAACCAATAGGATACAATTGGGTATTTGTGCGAAAACGCAACGAACATGGGGAAAATGTGAGATATAAGGCTCGACTTGTTGCACAAGGGTTCTCACAGAGACCTGGAATTGACTATGAGGAGACATACTCCCCAGTAATAAATGCAACTACTTTTCGATATTTAATCAGTTTGGTGGCTCAAGAAGGATTAGACTTGCGACTGATGGATGTCGTCACAACTTATTTATATGGCTCACTTGATAGTGATATATATATATATGAAGCTACCTGAAGGATTTAATTTGCCAGAAGCAAATAAATCAAACCCACGAGAACAATTCTCGATAAAACTAAAAAGTCATTATATGGGTTAAAACAACCTAGACGAATGTGGTTTAATCGTCTTAGTGAACACTTATTGAAACAAGGCTATAAGAATAACCTTATCTCCCCATGTGTTTTCCTAAGGAAATCTGGTAAAGAATTTGTAATCGTTTCAGTTTATGTTGATGACATAAATATTATTGGGACTCCTGAAGAGCTTTCAAAAGCAGTTGATTGCTTAAAGAAAGAGTTTGAAATGAAGGACTTGGAAAAAATTAAGTTTTGTCTTGGATTACAAATCGAACACTTGAGCAATGAAATTTTCATTCATCAAGAAGGGTATCTAAAGAAGGTACTAAGAAAATTCTATATGGATAAATCACATCCATTAGGGGCACTAATGAGGAGATAATTGGTCTCGAGAAACTAATGAGGAGATAATTGGTCCAGAAGTACCATATCTTAGTGTGATCGGGGCACTAATGTATCTTGCTAATCATACAAGACCAAACATATCATTTGCTGTCAACTTGTTAGCAAGATTTAGTTCTTCCCCTTCTCGAAGACACTGGAATGACATAAAACACTTATTAAGGTATATTCGAGGAACAATGGATATGGGTCTCTTCTATTCAAAATTACCCAAAGATAATTTAGTGGGATATGCAGATGCTGGATATCTGTCTGATCCACATAATGGTCGATCACAGACTGGCTATTTATTTACATATGGAAATGCAGCCATTTCATGGAGATCCATAAAACAAACAATAACAGCCACATCCTCTAATCATGCGGAAATCTTAGCGATACACGAGGCAAGTCGTGAATGTGTCTGGTTGAGATCCATAATTAAAAATATCAATGAGACTTGCGGTTTATCTCCCGAAGAGATGATTCCGACTATCATGTATGAGGATAATGCGGCATGTATCACGCAATTGAAGGAAAGGTATATCAAAGGGGATAGAACAAAACATATTTCACCGAAAAATTTCTTCACCCATGATTTCAAAAGAATGGTGAAATAAAGGTACTTCAAATTCGGTCATGTGATAATTTGGCGGATTTGTTCACAAAATCACTTCCTACTGCAACATTCGAGAAGTTAGTCTACAAGATTGGAGTTCGACGACTCAAGGATCTTCAATGATATCAAGATGAGGGGGAGCATATACGCACACTGTACTCTTTTTCCCTTAACCATGGTTTTTTCCCACTGCGTTTTCCTGGTAAGGTTTATAACGAGGTAGTATGTATGTGTATTAGAAGAAATGAGCTCTACTCAGACTACTCAACAATGGACATCCAAGGGGGAGTATTATAGTATTAAGTGGATGCCCATCATACACATGCTCCATCTACTATCTCCCAACCCACTATAGATCACCATTATGATTAAGTATTATAGTATTAAGTGGATGTCCATCATACACATCCTCCATCTATTATCTCCCACCCACTATAGATCACCATTATGATTATCATTATGGCTTGGTCTCACTCATTGCCTATAAAAGACAATCTAGTAGCAGAGAAACATATACACACCATAAATAGCCAGATAGCTTCTTTACTTCTTCATTGTAACCATATCATTACTTGTAGCTTGTACTACGTGGGTATGAATAAAGAAGTTACTCTTCTTATTACCTTATTGTTTATTCCGGAGTAATTGTTTTACAACAACTTTAACACTTGTTAAAAATTAGGAATGAAAATAAATGATACTCAACCCATTTCATTTGGTACAAATTTAGATAATTTCGAACATTAATATATTCATTTTTAAAAATATAAGAAAATGGGTCACCCGACAGGTTGACACGCTCTTTGGGTTGCTAGACCGGGAAGCTTCAACAATTTTGGTCGACGACCTTCACGGATGAAGGATAGACCAAGAGAGTAACTGATCTATTGGTTAAAGCTAACGCCTAACGGTAGCATCGGATCCGATCCGCATGAATACAATTGGCTGGGTGAACGGCCGCCTGAACGCTATTCTCGGGCCCACTGTTTGGATCGGACAAACCCGAACCATTTTCTCTTTATTTTCCTTTTTTATTTCCCTTTTTCCTTTCTTCCGCTGCACGGATATTGTTTTGTGCCTTATCTTATTATTCTACAAACAAACTTCACATTCATCTACCTGTCTCAAGACGCCGGTAGTGAAAATTTCAAATCCCCCGTTGACCGATTTCGGGTTTCTATCTCCTGCTACAGCTCCCAAGCAGCGGGAAAACCTCTGCTCTTTCCACTGCTTCAATTGGAATTGAAGAAGCTGTTTAGGGATTTCTGGGATTTGTTTCACCGTCTGCCTTCCCAATGCCCGCCATTGGCTGTGGTGGAGGATTAGGAGGAGCAGTGAGCTCTATCAGTCCTTCCTTCTCGGCTCTCTCATCGGCCTTCCCTCCGACGAGAATCTCTGCTTCACCTAAGCCTCCTTACGTCGTCCGCTGTGCGCTTCAAGGTAAATTTCACCCCTTCTCATCTTCTTCATCTTCTTCTTCTTCTTCCGTTCAGGATGGCCACATTTTGTGCTCTCTATGTTTTCCTCTAGAGGCTAGTCAATGTTGTTCCTGATTTTGGTTATTATTTTTTTTCCCCTTTCCCACTACTGTCCCAATATTTTCCACAATTCTCATGTGTAGGGTCTTTCCGTGGGATGTTGATTCTTCAATTGGCAACCGAAAGAACTGAATAATGTGGTGGTAAATGTGATTGCACAGTCTCTAGTATAGAAGTGAAGATTTTGTTGTTTAAACTCAATTGGCAAAGACTGGACATGGAAGAAGTGAATGTGGCTCCTACTTTTATGTTGGCTGTTATGCTGCACTTCATAGTTCATGGTCTAGTGATCAATGGATTAATTGGTTCTGAAAAGTCCATAGCATTTGCATTTTTGTTTTGTGTAATGTTATACCAGGAATGTTGGAATCTTCTGCTGGTAAAAAGGTTTTGTTTCATATGCATTGTTGATTGAGACGGTTTTGATCGGTATTGGATACTCTATTTATCATTATACTTATGTGTTCTCTCTATTCTGCATATCATTATCTGTGTTTCTTTTTTGTTTTTCACATAGTGTTTCTTAGGTTATTTGTCATACTCTTGAAATGTGGTGTCTGTTTCTTTTTATATCGAGTTTTTCTTCTTTTAACTGCAATGCGGGTTAAACGTCTCGTCCAGGAACTGTAGCAGAACCACAAGCTGTCTCGACTACTAAACCCCTTCTTCTAAATGCGGTTAGAGGACAGGATGTAGAGAGACCCCCAGTTTGGCTCATGCGGCAAGCTGGGCGGTATATGAAGGCAGGTCTATGCAGCAGCTTCATTTCTGTTCTCTAAACATTTGATCTTGCAATTACAAGTTTGTAGTATCAACGTGCTGACAGTATGTTTTGTGATTTATTATCTTGAAACTCCTTCTTTGTCCTATTTTTTATAATTTCTTTCTTTCTTTGTCCTAATAATGTTGTTTTTCTTGTATGCATATGTCAAACATTGCGATGGGTCTCACTCGTATACCTTTTCTTTCTTTGAGCAGAGTTACCAGATGATATGTGAGAAGCATCCTTCTATCCGTGAAAGATCAGAAAATGTTGATCTTGTAATGGAAATCTCACTGCACCCATGGAAGGTTTTTAAACCTGATGGGGTAAGATGACTTCCTAATCCTTTCCCCTACTTGAAATATAGCTATCTCGACTATGATTCTGTACTATTGCCTTGTCTCAGTTCTCCAAGTTCCCTTCCTGTTGATTTCGCAGGTTATTTTATTTTCTGATATCTTGACTCCACTTTCTGGGATGAACATACCTTTTGATATTGTAAAAGGGAAGGGTCATGTTATCTTCAATCCCTTGCGGACATCTGCTGATGTTGATCTCGTGAGAGAGTTTGTTCCTGATGAGTCAGTTCCATATGTTGGGGAAGCATTGACAATCTTGCGGAAAGAGGTATCAACTTATTTATCTTTCTCTTTCCTTTTTAAATGTCAGTTCCACCATCATCTTTGTGATACTAGGACTAGCTCAGTTCATGGACAAAGAGGCCATCGGACAGCATTTTAACTGTTTTGTACTTAAACTTTGGCAGGTAGATAACCAAGCCGCAGTGCTGGGTTTTGTTGGTGCTCCTTTTACCCTTGCATCTTACATTGTTGAAGGCAGTTCATCAAAACACTTCAGCAAAATAAAACGCTTGGCCTTCTCCCAACCCAAGGTAATTTATGCAAACATTTCATTCAGGACGTATTTTAACTTTTAATGTTATGCTTCACAGCCCAGTCAAATTTTGATTTTTCCCTTTACTTATCTATGCTTGCTCTGTAGGTTCTCCATGCATTGCTTCAGAAATTTGCTACTTCCATGGCAAAGTACATTCAATATCAAGCTGACAAGGGAGCTCAAGCTGTTCAGATCTTCGACTCATGGGCCACGGAACTTAGTCCAGTTGATTTCGAGGAGTTTAGTCTCCCATACTTGAAGCAGATAGTTGACACTGTAAAACAAACCCACCCATCCCTTCCTCTAATCCTTTATGCAAGTGGATCTGGAGGCTTGCTCGAGAGGCTGGCTTTGACCGGAGTGGATGTGGTCAGCTTGGATTGAACAATGGACATGGCAGAAGGCAGGCGACGATTGGGACAAGATGTAGCAGTCCAAGGAAATGTCGATCCAGGTGTTCTTTTTGGCTCGAAAGAGTTCATCACCAACCGGATCAACGATGTAGTGAGGAAGGCTGGTAAAGAGAAACATATACTGAACCTGGGTCATGGGATTGTAGTAGGGACACCAGAGGAGAACGTTGCTCATTTCTTTGAGGTAGCCAAAGGACTCAGATACTAGTAGGTGGAAGATCTGGCACTTTTTAATTTTTCATATTAGAACATCGTCTCAAGTCTTAACTCGTTCCTCAAGGTATGATCATCTTACTTCCATACAGATTGGGCGAGAGTAGTGTGCCTAGTTTCGGTTCTTTAAATTTTCAGTCCATTTCATTAAAGTTTATTTGGCGAGCTGTGCATCTAATCCTAACCATTTATCTTACTTCTAGAGTTGAAACAAAAGTGTCATTAATGATTACCTGAAAAAAGTGTCATTAATCATTTTGTATAACAGAGCTTTTGTTAATTTGTACTTTCAGTTCATTGAATCAATGTGGTAGCATCGGAACCGGATAAACCATTTAGACCTGTTTACGCCTAAAATTATTTGTCTTGCATACTACTTTGAAGTGGCATCATGTGATTAACAATCCAAGCTCAACAATATTGTAGTATGTAGCGATGCCACGAGGTAAACAACGTGGTAGAAAGCAATGCCACAAGTTAAGTAGCATTGCGAGTTAAACAATGTCATGAGGTCAATGACATTGTGAGCTATACACTGTCGCAGTGGCAAGAGCTTAGCTCAAGGGTGGTGACGTCGTGTGTCAAACAACACTGAGAGATCCCCACAACATTGTTGCGAAGATCCACCTTGCGACAAGACCACCTCGACAAAATCACTTGCAACGAGGTTGGGAGCTCAAGAGGCAACGTTGTTCAGTCCAAAAACAACGTCACAGTTTATACGACTTCGATGAGCTGGGTCCAACCTTTTAGGGTTCCAAACTCAAACATTGCCATTGTATTAGCGGCGGGAGTTTGATTACATCACGAGTGCGACGAGAATCAAGTTTGATGATGCAACAAGGTTGTGAAATCTATGGTGTCGCGAGTTGAACTAGATAAGTGACAACGTAGTTTTTCCTAAGATAGCTGACAAGGTTAACTAGGGACAAAGGTTGCAAAGAAAAAAACATTGCAGTTCTATCGACAAGGATTCAACGACGTTGAGGTTATTTGGATGAATTGTGAAGTTTTGGTATCGTGCGAGTTTAGCAACACTGCGAGTTCAGCTGTGATTCCAATAACATAGTCCACTTGGTTGGACAACGAGAACAATAGTGTTGGGATTAAGTTTGACAATGTCGCGAGGCCACGAGATCGAGGTCATTGGTGAGTCCATGTCTCAAATCACATAGTGATTCTAGTTTTGTTTAGGGTAAACTGTTTGGTTTGGCTCAGCGGTCTTGCGAAAACGAACAAGGTTGTAATTTCAACGAGATCACAAGCTGAACGATGTTGCAAATCCACATCAAGAAGCGACGTTTAATCCAAGACAACGTCGAGTAGGATGGTCGAGCTTGGTCCAACCACACCTATTGCAAGTTTGAGAAGATCAAACAGCGCGTCAAAATCAACTATGCAGTGATATTAGTATGGTGTCGTGAGCTTAACAACGCGGCGAGCTCGTCAATATTGTGATGGTTTACGACTTCAATGGGTTCAACAACATCACAAGTTCAACGTTCTCGCGAGGTAAAGACATCGGCGCCACAAATCTTGCAACGACATTGTTGGGATTTTGTTAGGTTAACACGGAGACTCAAATCCATGATGGCATTACAACAATGAAGCCACAACATCGTGGTTTAAACCATGCTATAGATCCCGGGCTCGTGAAAATCACGCCAGGAAGAGTGGAGAAGAATTCACCTGGATAACAGATCAGTTGAGTAGGCAGTTCAATGGAGCAGTTACGTGAAGACTACGAAGATGTTGTTTGATAAACCAACGAATCAAAGACAAGAAAGATAAAAAAAACCAAATCAACACAGAAACACCTTTGCCAAAACTTTACCTTTTCTATGTAGTTTCTTTACGGAGCTCTCCTTCCAGAAAGTATCTCCATAGTTCGTAGTTGTATTCGTTGTCGCGGAGCTCTCCACAGGAATCTCCATAAGAGTAGTCTTAACATAGATTCCAAAAACTCAACCACCATCGTTCGAACATTGTTGTAGAAATAAGAATCGTAGTAACGGTTGTTCTTGACTCCATAAGTCGGAGGTGAAATCTAATTCAAACAACACTGTAGAGTTTCCACCTCGGGGGATACCTGTGTTTGATGTGAAGATGGCTCCGTGACGAGGAAAAAAAGATTGTGATCTTCCTCAAGAATCTGTAGAGGAGAAGCAGATGGTCGACATTGAATTCGCCAGACATACAAGGCAGATAGACGTACTCAAGGGATAGAGGAGTTGCCCCCAGAGCTATCAAATGAAGATTTTTGGGCTGCAATCCTATCTCTACGACAATCCATGAAGGACTGCTTGGCTGCAGTCGATAGAGGTACCCAACATGTAATCCTTAAGTTAGATTTTCTTGATTTTGATTTTAAAAGAAAAATGGACAAAATCTCTGATACGCTAGATAGACTTGTTCGAGGTCTTGTAAAGTCAACAACCATGTGTAATATAAATATTATGGAAGACATTTTTGCGGGCTTCTAGTAAGATTGAAAATAAGAATCATTGTCGACAACCTAGTCACAAACGTGTTGAGCATGGAAAGCTCACATGTGATGTGTTTTCAAACCAGCATCGCAATGGTGTTCAACCTAAGTGTGGTGCAATCTCATTCAAACAACACCGCGAAGTTTCCACCTCGAAACAAGACCCACTGAAAAGGGGTAAAATATTTTTTTAACTAATGTGTGGTTCTATGATTAAGAGTTGATGCGGTGAAGTTTGAATCGTGAAAACGGCTAAAATAAAAGGCAGCATATGGGATACAACTGGAAACACGGTCGTGTCCATGGCCGTGTTTCTCAGGATGTAATTTCAAGAGAGAAACAAAATTACGACCACCCAAACACAATTGTGTTCTAGGCCATGTTTATAGCAGATTTCACGTACGACTGAAACGTCTACGTTCTATTAAGTTTCAGCAAGATCGTCGATAACGCCAGGGTTACGTCGGGCTGCTGATAGCTATCATGCAATTAGTGTTGACCTTGAAATTCGTCCATTCATTAGAAAATGGAAATTAGTCAAGATGAGAAAATTTAATGATACGAGGGTACAATGTGTGTCTAGGTATCAATTGTGATGACCAAATTTATCCTATAATGAGGTATCTTTACTAAGAAATTCTAATTCTAACTAGGATGCCCTAACATGAACAACATCGTTGGTTGAGAGTTCCTCCAAACTCGAGAACCATGAATTGATATATATTGTATTAGTTAATAAATGAAGTGTCTTGGTTGACAAATCTTAACATAAGATTCTAAACGAGTCATGATAAACCTTTGTAGCATGATTTATGATTACAGAAATGAAGCACCATAAGTGAATGTGCCAAGTATAAAGAATTTTCAATATAGATATTTCGCATACTCACTTATGAATCGAGAATATAAAAAAACTTAGAAGATTCAAAATAGTTTAAAACACATGATAAATTAATTAACATAAATGATAAAATGAAACTCTTTGATCAACATGTCGGATAAAAAACTAGTTTTATATAAGAGCAAAACTCATTATGTTTCCATTAATTATACCTAAAAGTAATAATGATTGGAGATAGGGTGCTAACACCCTTAAGTGACTTAGACCATGCTAACACATTCATTAAGGGTGCTATAGTAGTTACCATTCCTCATCAACTCCCTCCTTCCCTTTCCTTCCCCCTCTCTCTACGTTGGTTGTAATAGGGGTTTATACACAAATTACAATCTTTTCTGAAGGCTCTGGTTGGGCTCTGACTTGTATTAGAAGGGTCCTTGACAAGTTTTATTTACTATCTGGACTTCGGTGTAACCCTGACAAGTGTGCAGTTTACTTTGGAGGGACTTCTCGGCAAGCACAGGAAGTAGCTTTATCTCTATTTAGTTTTAACGAGGGTACACTGCCTGTTAGATACTTAGGTCTCCCTCTGATAGCAGGCAAGCTCTCTACTACTGACTGTGACCTGTTGATTGATAAAATAGTCAGTAAGATCCGCTCATGGAGATCGGGCAAACTCACTTATGCTGTAGACTAGAGCTAATTGCTTCAGTTGTCTATCCTATTCTTCAGTATTTGATAGGGATCTTTATTTTACCCAAGTGTGTCATAAAACGAGTCCAAAAACTCTGCTAAGATTTTCTATGTCATGGTAATGACTTGGGGAGAGCAAAGGTAGCTTGGGGTCTTATTACAATACCTAAAAAGGAGGGTGACCTAGGTCTTAAGGATCTGGTGATTTGGAATATTGCCTCTGCAGGTAAATTGTTGTGGTTAATCTTGATGCAGGGGGGGTCCTTCTGGGTTGCTTGGGCGCACAAGTATAAGATTAAAGGTAGATCCTACTAGGATCTGAAAGCAACTCAGTCTGGATCCTGGATTTGGCGGAAACTGCTCAAGCTCCGTTCTTGGTTTCATTTTCGACTGATTCTAGAGGAAAGAGGGGTTGTTTCGTGGGAAGGATGCTGGATGGAGAAATATAAGATCAGAAGGGTTTGGTCCTCTTTGCGGGCTAAGCATCCAATTATCACTGGGTGGAAGTTGCTGTGGATGAAACATAATATTCCCAGTAATAGTTTTTTGACCTGACTTATTATGAATGACAGGATCATTACTAGGGAGAAACTGATCAGCTGGGATAAGACTATTGATCCACAGTGTGTGTTGTGCTCAGGTAGTACTGATTCAAGAGCTCATATGTTTTTTGAATGTCCTTACACTCAACAAGTGGCTGATACAATGCTGAGGAATTTCTCGATGCCAAGTAGCTTTTGTTGGGACTATTGGTTGGCTACTGCAACCAGTCTTGTTTCATCTTCTGGTATCAAAAGTCAAGTTATTGGGTTTTGCTGGTGTTGGTTGCTTGTTTCTATATGGAGGGAAAGATGCTCCAGGGTGTTTGGAGGTAGAGAGTTGACTCTTGAGTTGTTGATTGCTTCATTCCATTCTGATTGTAATAACTATGGTATAGGCAGAGTTGAGTTTTCTACACTATTTGGGTTAGCTCATACTTAGTTTTAGTTGGCTGTTAGAGGTTGGTGTTTGGTTATTTCTTTGGTGGGTTTTACCCTCATTGTATTTTTCGATTCTGGCTTTGTCCAGTTGAGCTTAATGAGAACTGCCAATTATCGGAAAAAAAAGTCCTAAAATATTGGTGGAAAATTAGTTTTAGTACCAAATTTGTTCTCTTACATTTTGATACTTGAACTTTTAAAATTTTAC